GATCTTATCAATGGTTACAAATATTTAAAAATTGGGAACAAAGTGGATGGCCGCAGGCTCTTTTTGGTGGTGGCCAGTGACAGTACAAGGGCAACAGACACAAACAGGTACACAAGAAGTTTCACACAAACATGAGGAAAAAGTTCCAGGGTTACAGAGCACTGGAACAAGCTATCCAGAGAGGCTGCAGTGTCTGTTCCTCTAGAGATATTCAAAACCCATCTGGACAGCTTCCTATGTAACCTACTCCAGGGAAACTGCTTTAGCAGGAAGGTTGGAGTAGATGATCTCTACAGGTCCCTTCCAACCCATTCAATTCTGCTATAATGTACAGTAATATAAATACCTTCTTTCTTGACTCAGTGCTAACAGAATGTACTTTTTTATTTGTCAAGTACTAACACAATTATAACAGAGTTGAGCTGCTTTTCCTCCACATCTACCAGTAATACAGGTCAGGAAATTCATTTTTCATGCTTTTATTGCTAATTTTCAGAATATTTCAATATTCTTACAGTATTTTCCTAAAACAAAACTAAACTGAAGTATAAGAAATGAAAGCTGTAACTTCTTGCTGTACCACTGCCTCCTCTATCCACATTAAAAAGGTACTCTTTCTTCCTTATCTTCCACACAAAAAATATGGAACCTACATTCTATATATTGTACAGAAAGTGATCATGTTATATAAACAGAAAGGCAATTTAAAACATTTGTGAACTTGAACACTTACTAAATGAACATGAAATAGCTTAGGAGATACTTTATCTGTTAAAATGCAGAAGTACTGCACAGTACCCTGCAAGAGCATCAATTACAGGTGCATAAAGAAGTTCAAATTTTAAGTATGTTTTGCGTTTACTTCTTGACTTTCCTGAGACACTAATTCTTCAAAAAATAATTTGTATTGTGGAGCAAGATCTTCCATTTTTACTACAGCCAACAGTTACTTACAACATGACAAAGGAAATGTGAAATTACTCAACACTGTAAAATACCTTGATTCATGTACAGAAACATACATACTAAATGAATGTGTGAATTAGCTTTATTCTTTTTTATTCAGTGTAGTTATCATTTTAGGAATAACAAGATATATATTTCAAACACTAAGAAGGTAATTTCCCATCGTTTCCATCTTCTGGATGGTTTTTATGCCCAAACAGCATAATATACCATAAGAACAATGCTGACTTCTTAGACACCATTCTAGCATTCTGTTGTAAACCCCTCTGCTGTGAGTGTCCCCTCATCTTAACCTTCTGTTTAAACCAGAAACTTCAGCTTTACTTTGTCAAAAGAGAAGTACCTCAGGACTCGAAGATACTGCACATTACACACATACAAGTGGTTTAACTTAACCTCAAGAGATGTAATGCAAATAGGCTTAAAATCTTCAGGAGCACTATCTATTTAAAAGCACTGGTAAGCCTGTTGCTTCAGTTTAATACAACTGTACACTTATACTGTGATAGAAAAGTAAAACAATTATTTTCCAAACTCAAACTATTAAAAAAATACTATCAAACACTATTTAAAACACACTTTTTGGGCATGTGTTTATTTTTCATGATAATATTCATACATAACCAACTTTTGCTTTTGTAAACAGCATAGGGAATTAAAAACATTGCTTGATTAAAAGGTAGCCAAATCTAGCTTATAATTTTAAATCAACAATGTAGTACTTAAAAAAATAATTACTTCAGCTATATGCACACATACAGATACATATATACGTTTATATATTGTATACAAATAGACACACACACACACTTTTTACATATGCATGTAAGCAAATGCATCTCTGCAACAGCCAGGTAGGGTATTAGAAGAAACAAGTTATTTTATTTATCAGTGTTTAATACACAACCAAGATACACTATCCATTCACAACAAAATCATATCTGAACAACATGAAACTTATATCGGGCTCTTTTGCACTGCTAATATTTTTCTTGATTCTCTTAAGGAAATTGAGAAATAAAATTACTTTAGAAGTTTACACAGCATTTAATGTAGTGGTCAGAGGTAACAGAAAAAAATGAAATACTGACACTAATTTAAGCAAGTAGAAGGTTGAGGATCAATACTTATAAAATCCCTTAAGACTGGCAGTGAGATTTTCAACTTACCTTAAAATGGCTATTAGGTTACAAATGGTTTACTTCCTCTTTATGATTTGGGTACACTAGATTCAATTAAAAAAAAACACCACCACCACAAAATAAAAAATAAAAATACACCAACAGCAGCCCTGTCCACATGCACAGAGATATATTCTACTATCATCACAGTGCTAAAAACAAAAACTCCTGTAAAACACTTTTAAAGAGCCATGTGTGAAATGAAATTCAAATTATGTACAGTGTATATATAAAGTTTCATAATAAAAATAAACATCCTTCTGTTTCAAAAACCTGTTAAGAGACAAATCACTGTCAAAAGAAAGGCACTAGGCAAACACGATATACCCTGGTACAGAATCTATATTCACCATAATTTATATGTTGTACTGAAATAGTAACAGCATATGCACACACTCTTTCCCTTAAAACTCAGTATTATTTTATAGATCTGTGCAAGATAATACAAACCCTGCTTTCAGAGAAGATGTATTGAGCGTCACTTCTCAGACAGCTCACAGAACTGAAATAATTTACTTGCTCACAATTGACAGAAGTAGAAATGAACTGAGAGTTTCCCTTGAAATTAAGTACCCTCACCCCACAAAGTCTTTATCTCAGAGACCATAAGCATTTTCCTTCTAGGAATACTCCAACAGTAACTTCAGGTATCTCTATATGTGCAGAAGAACGTCAAAGTTTGACCAACTTAATGTTCCCATACTGTTTGTTCTGTAGTTTGCATAAAGTTGGTACATGATTTACTTTAAGAACTATAACATAAAAAAGATGAGTCAACTGCAATTCTTCAGAGTAAAAACATTAAAAGTAATAATTTAGCTTTTTTTTTTTTCTTAACCAATTAGCCAAAAAAAAAAAAAAAACTGGGCTCTTATATTAAATAATTTTATTTCTTTGCACCTGTATAAAACTTTTCCCATAGAAATATTTTAGCCATTTTTCCAAAAACGATTATGATTTCAGTAGTAACCCATCAGCAGAAATCTAATTCTTGTTACAACACTTGCAGTGGTTTTTGCTCCAAGCACAGAAAAAATATTGGGTGGGCAGGTGGGGTAGTTCTAGTAGTTACTATTCCATGAGATCTCTTCAAATTCAGTTCTACTCTCGGACATACGTTTTTTCCAGGTGGCACATTTAGACTTAAAACCACATTAAGCACATAAAAATACAGTAAGTTCTCAGTAGTGATAAGTTTCTAAGTACTCCTTTATATCATATTTTGAGAAATTCTTACATTCTTCTAAAGATCACATTAGACACCTGTGCATCATGGCCCGTATCACTTCACATCAAGAGCTCAATGATACCTTTGCAGCAACCACAGAAGTTTTTCTAAGGAAGATACGCTACACTGTTACCACAAATTATATTTTAAACAAGGTCAGATTATTGCAGTTGTAAAACACTGCACAAAAATTTCAAATGTTTCCATAAACTGCAACAAAAGAAGCAACTTTTACAGACATGAATAAAAACTGTCACTGGGAAAAAAGATGAACAGTTCTCATGACTAGTAAACAGTGCAGGTAACTACAGTGACAAAAGAATGGATGGCAAAGTTTACGCAGAGAAAGATTTGTCCTTAAAGAATGTCTGAATTCAGAAGAATTTTTAAATAACACATTCAATAGAGATATGTAATGCAGTTAGTTACTCCTTCAACTATATGGACCCTTTGAACTACAAAGCTTAAAGGTATCAAATTATAAAAACAAATTATGTATAGTTATACCACAGAGTTACAATGAAGATGTATCAATAATTTTCCTTAATAAATAGCAGTTCACTTAAAAGTGGCAAACACTTAACAAGTGCATTAAATGTCTCAGACACTATTTCATAACAGTGGTCATAGCTGTATCTTCTTTAGCTTATCCACTTGAGTGCAATTGAAACAAAACAAGCTTTAGCAAAAATTTGTTAGAAACACTCTTAAGTTTGCAGAGATGCAGCAGGAAAATGCAAAGAATTAATACTAGTAAGAATGTAGTTACTCCAGAAGTGCACTTTAAAATGTCAAGTAATATATATGTAACCCAATTTCCACATTTTTTCTTAAAAAAAGCTGAGCTGAGATGGTTGTGCAGACACATGATGAGAATTAATTTGCAAATAAGTGTAGACAAACAAACAAACATCTTTTTTCATACCAGAAGGACTCTAGAAAATACTGTACAAGTGTTGCTGCAAAAGTAATGTCTCCTATTACACTGGCCCTCAATGTCAGAGGCGCATGTTGGTATTATGGCAGTAGAGGCTGAGCCTTCCTGTCAACATCCCATTAGATCCTGTTACCATATGACAGATGGCAGCAGACAGAATGGCATCTGACACAGAAATATGCATGAAGAAAAGGTGTCATTGAGTTCCTCCATGCAGAAAAATGGCAACCACTGACAAGCATCAATGCTTGTTGAACATCTGTAAAGACCAAACAGTGGATGTGAGTGGAGTGAGGCATTTCAGCAACGGTAACAGCAGGTCACCTTTGCTGCTGCAGATTTTTATGACGTAGCATGCAGGCTCCCGTTCATCACGGGCCAAAATGCATAGCTGATGGTAGTGATAATGTTGAAAAGTCGTGTCTTTAGCTGAGAATTTACTCTGACAAATAGCATTACTGTGCTCTTTGTATCTGTTGTAGTTTCCATGGAAATAAATAGGAGACATTACTTTCAGAACAACCCATGCTGTAACTTACTTATGTTTATTTGGAATGACACAAGTTTTTGGAAAGAAAAGTATACTTTTTCTCTTTTTTTGTTTGTCATCTTATCTTCTTTTTTAACCACAAGTCCCCACATCCGCCTTACAACTTCATGGACAGAGCACTACAATTAACCAAGGAAGAAGTGTGAATAATTACAATCCTGTTGAAATTGAGAGTATTCTAGTGGTTACAACAGTTACAGTATATTAACTACAAAGCAAGAACAGTTGTTTTTTTTTTTAAAGCCTCTTCATTACAGATTAAACATATACTGCAAATAAACATATACTGCAATAATTTAATGTCTACTGTTTTCCTGTAAAGTTGTATGAAAAAATCCATGCCCCCTTTCCCCTTCCAGAAACGGATTTTTGAGGAGACATATCCACACAATTTGATATTTTCAAGCTTCAGTAAGAAAAACAAACAGTAGTCACTACACTGGAAAGGTGAGACTCTCAGATCTAAAAAGAACTAATTTCTAGGCACACCATATTGTTAAAAGTAGTGTTGAGCAGCTTACTTGAACACTAACACGACTTTAGTATCTATTGTTCTGGATCTTGGAAATACATGAAAATAGAAATCTGATTCCGAATAAAAGTGATGAGTAGTTGATGTCACTGCTACCAGATTACATTGCCCCAAAAATTATAAATGAAAAAGCATAACTTAAGATTATATTTACTGTATGACTAGCAAAATATTAGCTTTAGAATCTTTGATGTTTTTAAAAACAAAATCTGTGCCTGTAGTCAACAGACAACATATAACTACTGTTGTTTTTTTTTTTTTTCTCCTGTATTTTTATAAGTTTTTTTCCCCACTCTCAAATTTCAGGATTTTTTGTCGTTATGTTTTCTGGTTGTTGGGATTTTTATTTTTTATTTTTTAATAAAGTTCAGACATAGAAAAACTATGTAAACTTGTTAGCATTCCAGTAACGTGCAAAAGTATGCAGCATGTACTGAACAGAACAAATACAATTAAACTAGAAATATTTCAGTAGTTCTTTGGAGCTCAATCTTTCAAAACCATATATTTAAAAATGAAATAAATGAAAACTCACCAATGTTGCATACATACAGTGAGACATACATACAGTGTTTTTACCACAAAATAATGATATAATCAAGAACTCCCAATGTGCAAAGCATAAAAACAGTAGCTGTAGTTTACTCCACACACTACTGACATGCATCCTGCAAAAAGCAAGCTATCAAGATTAAATTTAGCTTAAAGGATCACTTAGATTAGAAACAGAAGTACATGAATAAAGTATACAATTATCGGTCATTTTTGTACTACTTCAGTCATGTAGTTATCCCATGCAGATGTTCTTGAAGCTTAGCATGCAAATTACTAATTAAAATAAAGCATTCTTGAATTACACTAACCAATGAGATGAAAATATTCTCACACTTTTTTACTCTTCAAAATTTAGTAGTAGTGCATTTACATTAATGCGATATAATGACTTAAACATACCAATAATAAAGGCATTTCAAACAGATTCTTGAGCTCTCAATTTCTTTCTCACTGTATTCAATATGCTAAGAAACAATTGCAGTAGAAATAGCTCACATAAGCCACCGCTCTTTTTCTTTTCTGTACTTCTCAGACCACTTCTGAGTGAGCTCTAGATAAATATTTGGTTTATGGGGCTTATAATCAAGGTAAACTATTTGTCCAGTCTTTTTGGGGATAGCTTTTTCAATCTGAGTACCCTCGTGCCATTCATTGAAAGATGTAATGGAAATAATTTCTGGTCTCACCAAAAGGGCTGCATTAAATGCAGTCTCATAGTATTTTCCATTGACACGATTACGTGTGTTGTGGTTGTTCCATGGTCGGATACTGGTGTCGATATATCCTGGTCCCACACTTGGAATAAACATTAAGTTGTTGCTGTCACAAAAGGCTTTTAAATTTGCCCAATTATGATGAGATGAGCCATAAGAGAACCCATTTGTGGCAAAGTACGTGTACATTCCATCAAAGCCACTTCTGTGAATATCATGCTTATGTCTTTCTTCTACAAGAAGAGCAATGAATAACGCATCATATGGAGTATTTCGAATAGTCTGGGATCCAGATACAGTTAACAGATTTGCCCATATTTCAGGAATTGTTACGTAAGAATCATAAACATAAAACATGGGAAGAGATCTGCCTGTGCTGGTCTTATGCCTGTAAAAGGCTGGGTGGGCTCCATATCTACAAAGCAAACAAGTATCATTAAAACCATTTTGAAAACACTGACTTACAAATTGCATTGAAGACCTCTTTTTCTAAAATAATAATAATAATAATAAAAATTAAAATTAAAAAAAAGCACATGTGTTTCAAAACACAGAAATGTATATCCATTTTTCAATCCAGTATCTCAGTATCTGTTAAAGGATTGAATAATGAATCTGCAAAGATCACTATTTCTACTGATCAGTATTTGTGTTAAACTGCATTATAGGTATTAGTTTCCTCTGAAAGACACAAGCCTCTTTAAACAAGACTGTAAGTAGCATTGATGAATAAAACTATTAGCAGTGGTACAAAATTTGTCAAGCTGAATTAAAATCATTAGAGGTTAACATGTTATGGCTTGCTGCTTATTTGTCACTATAAAAATGCATGTCTAATTCATATGGTTGTGTACTTAATAATTCAACTGCTTTCATCTGAAGCATTGTGTCTCATGCTGCAAATGAATATTGAAATCAACATACATTTGAATGTCTACACACAGTTCATGCATCAATATTTGAAAAACAGACTTCTGAGTTTAAGTACCACCGAAATATGAACTATGTTTCCTGAAGTTTTCTTCAGTCTCAGTACGTATTTTGAATATATTCTTCCAGGATCTAGACAGTATACAGAACTTCGCTGAACAAATATTAAGAATACACAAAAGGAACATTTTGAAAACACTCACTTGTCAATGATGTATTTGACATTGTGGTACATACTGCGATCATCTCTATCTTTGTAGGGCTCAATATGAAAAGTGACCTGAAAAATGAAAAAATAGTAAAGCAGCACAAACAATGTTTTATTGAATATTTGGGCATTCTATGTTACATGAAGCAAGTACTGGTTGTATTAACATTTTCTGTTAATCCTAATATAAATCAATTTTAAGATTAGTAGTTTCAGATCCAGGAGAGTCTAGCAATAAGAGTAAATATTTCATTTTTTTCATTAGTACTAAACATTGCTTTTGTTTTCCCTCAGCAATAGGGCATAGTAAGCATGAACTTCACAGAACTTCACAACTACAGCAGAAAGTAACAACTGAAATAAAAGATTATTTATTTGAACGTCAAATAACTGGTTAAGCAGTGAATTTCCACATAACATGTTCAAATTGCTATTGATAATAAGAAGAGTTTCCACTGTCAAACTAGATTTTAAGACAGTATATGAAAAATTTAATTTAAAATTTTATGGAGTTATCAACACCATAACTGCTGATAAGTTTACCCTTGTAACTAAATCTAATCTGAATCTCTGCTGCTCTAAATTCAAGCTTGGGGCTTATGAAATTATTTATCCTACATTTGTGAAGGTACCTCAGTGTAAAAATCTTGTATTCAACTATGAAATTCAAGGGAGGAGTACGTTACATTAATCAAAGCAACTAGCTTTTCAGAAGCAACTTTAGAGTACAAAGCATTTAATGAAGCATTCAACTACTCTGCAACAGTAGCAAATTTAATTACAGTACCAGACTATATCAAAATACACTATTACACTAAACTACAAGAACTAATAAGATGGATTGAGAAGTGCTTTAATATATTTTATTTTCATCTATCAAAAACAAGCAAATCAAAAGGACAAATTTTAGCAGACATGTATTTTTTATTTTTTTATAAAACAATTTTTTTTTCTGCTGTTTTTGTTCTACAGACATTACTTAATTAAATAACAATTTACTTGGGCAAGAATATTTAAAAAAAATAGTGAAAGTAGAATTTAGTGATATGTCTTTACTTAATATCTGTATTCCAATAACTACACCAAACAGTAACAGCAGATCCATCCACAATGCTATTATTACCATAATACTTAAGCATTTTCCTTAGTAGCCTATTTGAATTTTGCCTTGCTCTTTTGAGACTTGAGAATTGTTAATGAATTCTCTTAGGTGAGATCAAGTTTCATAAAATGATCTGAAAATTTCTAGGGGAAGATAGTTTTCTTTAAAAATAGTAAATTATTAAAAAGGAAAAAAAAAGACTGCAATGTGTCACAGTGCAATTCTCATTGCAAGTTTGAAAATTACTTATGTATCTCATTTAATTTTCCTACTTCCCTCTTGTCTGACAAAGAATCTATAGCTGCTTCTAATAACAGGAAATGTCTATGTAAATCTGACAACTAAAGCGAGAGCAGATGAACTGTACATTTCAGTCCCCAATACAGACAGCACCCTCTTGAGATGAAATGCATACAGCTGCTTACAGCATTCAAAAAGTAAACCTTATTATTTGGAAAGAATAAATGGCAGTGCATGTTCTTTTTATTCCCTCAACCCTCTCCCCTCTCTACCTGCCCAAGGTAAAATACAAGTTTTACTCTAAATATAAATATAGTACAGTGCAAGAGTGCATATACCTACTTTTGGAACTCCCAAAATTGCAGCATAAGAGCAGACAGACAGAAGCCACAATTACCTTACAAACTTTCCTTGCTAGCATCATGGGTGAAATGTAAGAAACTTTTACCACGATTTACTTTCCAATGCAGTTTTATTTTATCAATCTTATAAATACTTTACCTTTAGATTGTATTTGCTTGCATAATCCAAAATAATAGGCACCAAATCATCAGTTGGTTCTCCATTTTCATCAGCCATACCCGGTGGGTACCATGAAAGTGCTATTACACCTGAAAATACAAAGCACAGCTTTCAAATTGTATATTTAAAGTGTAACATGCAGCCAGTTTGTCATGAGTTGCAATTATTATTTGATGTAAAATCTATATAATGTAAATGAGAATTTCAAATTACTTTTTAATCAATTGTGAAATCTCAGCACTCTCTCTCTTTACTGCTGAAAGAAATCAGCAGTAAAAGCATCTGTCAGGAGAACAGGGGAACACATTTGTACCCAATGCCCCAAGCGTAACATTTATAGACTTTGCCTTCCACTCTCTAGCACAGCATCATACTCTCCAAGTTTTATTAAGAGATGTTGGAGAAGGCTCCTGCGGTGTTGTAGCCGTGCCACAGTACACTAGAGAATACCAAGATGCACAGGGGTAGAGAACACTCCAGAGATGAGGGTTACACAGTGTCAAAGAGATTCTTATGAAGACTTATCTCCTACAACACTTCTGCGTTATACCTCAGGCTCCATTACAAAATAATCATTTCATACTGGAAGCAGTGACCATAATCCTGCGCTCCTCCATCTAGACACAAGCAGTCCCTATGACAACAAAAATTCAATGCTCCTAGACTGTAATTTTTCTTAATGCTTTCCTCAAAAGCAAAAGATGACATACCTCATCAGAAAAGCTAAAAACCTCTCTCTCTAAAATGAAATGCTGTCACATTAAAAAAAGCAAGACTGCTTAGATATACAGCTGGAAATAATGTAATATGTCAATAAGACAGGCAAATACATATGATACTGATTTAAGAATATTTTCCTAAAGATACTAAATTAAACATGTGGAACAGTAATTCAATGTGGATCTTTTTAACTACCTAAAGATTGAAGTATCTAAGTCATTTCACAGACATAGAAATTTAGAGCATATACTTCCTTTTGCCTTTTACTAATACTGTAACTTTCCTGACAAACACCTTCAGAATAAAGTCCAAAATTATTCAAAAGAAAACATCAATTAGAATGAATATGCTACCAGCTTCTAATGTCAAAAACAGAAATTTCAACTCAGTATACAAAGGAGAGGTTAATCCAACTACTCACAGCATATTCTCTCAAAATTTTATAAAAAAATCATAAACAATGGACTATCAAGAGTGACAGCCAGTACAAGGGCAAGAAAAATGCAATAGTTTACTGCATTTTATCACCCTATCTTTTATTTAACACAAGAGGAAAGAACAAAATTCAAAAGACATTAAGAACAAAAAGCACAGCAATAATTTAAACATGATACATTTTTCCAAAACATCTTGCATACAACATCAGTTAAGAGCTTCTTCTATCACATTAAGAAACAAGGAGGAGTTCAGGAGACAAAATTTTTCAAGGAACCTAACACATTTTGTCTTTCTTTGAGTTTTTTTTTTCTTTCTTTCTTTCTTTTTTTTAATAGATGTAGGTTACTCTGAAAGTAATGTCTCCTATTTATTTCCATGGAAACTAAAATGGAAGCTATTTTATTCTTTGTTCCATTTGATAGAACAAATTCTCAGCACAAAACACTCTTTTTTGACACAGTGACCATTGTTAGCAATGTATTTATGCCAGCGATGAAAAAGAGCCTGAATGCACCACCGACCACCTCACTGCGCTCACATCCACTGTTTGGTCTCCATAACTGCTCATTAAACATCAAAGAATGTCAGTAATTTTTAATGCAGGGAAGAAGTCAATGCCACACCTTTGCTCTATCATGTCAGGCATCATTTTCTCAGTCTGTCTCTCTTCTACCGTCTGTCACACAGTAAGAAAATGTAACAGAAAATTGGTGGGGAAGTTCAACCTCTACTTCCAATCCGTTGACACTAGTTTCTGATATCCTTGGTCAACAGAATAAAATCAGTGGCATACCTTTTAGGGCAGCCCTTGTCTAAAGGTAGTTAGTATATGTACTACATACATTTTTCATTTTTTGAACATACATGCACCAATTGTTCTTGTAAATTAACCCACCATCATACCTCCAACAGACAAAGTTTTAAAGATACTCCTGTGATAACAACATCCTCATGCATCCTTCAAACAGCATTTGGAATCAAGCTCTTCTTCAGAAATTAAAACAATATGGAAGGCCCATAAACTTTTCTCAGCATAACCAAGAGCATCAGGAAACTCACAGAAACTAAAAGCATTTTTTTCTTCCTACCAATCAAATCATCACTTGCGTGAAGACAAAAAAAATGGAACTGCATGCAAATTTGGCTATCAACAAATATAGATTAGACCTCTGTTTTTACTCTAAGCTTTTCCAATGCAATCAAGGCCTCCATTAATTGAAAAATAAAAGAAAGATCCTCTTTTCCAAGTGCAGTTTAACCTAGATTAAAATACACAGCACAAATCTGTTTCTGAGATTACCTCTCTCTTTGTCTACCTGACTATTCAAGAATCCTAGACAGTTTACTTAGATGATATAGCTAACTTTTAGATGAGTAACATAAGTTAAAATGTCACCATAGCATATTAAATCTGAGGCCAGTTTACAGGAAAAAAGAATAGTAATTTCTTCATAATAGTTATGGATGTAATTTATATTAACACTTCATATACCAGAGTGAGCTTTCCATCGTGAAAAATATAAGCATTAATACTATCTAATTTATGACATTTTTTCCCCAAAGGAGAAGTGACATTTCAATTCTATGAACTACTGAAGTCTGTTATCAGATATTCTGTTGAAAGTAGACTAAAAATCAACTCCCTTTTTCCCTGTCAGCTCAGGAAACATAATTCATCTGCCTCTGAAGTTGTGGACCAGCAGAATAAAATAGGAGGCATCACTTTCAGAGCAGCCCTCATATTTCCTGTTATATATTATAAGAGGAAAGAATCACTTCAGGAGACTAAGAAGGGACTAAAACAAAGATCAGTGTAACATTATAAAACAAAAGTATAGTCATTCAAGACAAATGAAGGACTTCAAACCATACTGCAATAAAAACAGGGCAGCGCAAAATACGAAGTTTCACCAAGCAACCTGAAGAATAACAGATGAATACAACACATTCTGAAACTAAGAACAACACATGAAAGCACTGAATGAGACTCCTTCAGTTTCAGTCTCTTATATGCCTTTGAGAATCACACAATATTGGCTTAGAGGACCATTTAACATTTTTTCCCCCCGTTGGAAGATTCTTGACAAAGACTCTCAAAAAAGGCAAGAAAAATTATTATTTGATAAAAGTAAAACGCAGTAAGGCTAGGATTAGATACTGGCTATAATTGCAAAAGAAAAAACTATAAGCAGTAACTTGAGTACACAAAAAATGAATACAGTATTAATTGTACAAAAAAAAAAAAAGATGCAATATTTGAGTAATAACCCGAGAAGGAAAGTAAATTTTAGTGATCAAATCCAGACTGAAAAAAAAATTCAAATGTAGTTAAATCCAAAAGTCAGAAAAACAACTAAGAATATGAACTTTTGATAAATACCAGTTAAAAAAACCCCCACAAACAGCACATTACAAGAAGCACATATTACTTGTTAATGTCGTAAAAGTTAAATGGAAAGGTAAGTTAAGGCCATTAAAAAAGCCTTTCTTTGCAAAGCATTTTTCTTAGTATTTTGCATCTTTCCAGTTCAGCTTTATCAGCATTTTTATTTAGAGGATGAGAAATGTGAAATTATTCTAAAACTACACACCTGCTCCCTGCTTTCATCATACTACCACGCATTATTGTCTGATTTAGATAAGACTAAAAAAGTGCTCTGTGACAACTAATATCAGATTTTTCTGCATTTGTATTCCCTCTGCTGCTGCTGTTACTGTTGTTAATTAAGTTATTCTATTACTGAAAATAGTAAGAAAACTCCTACTTTTGTACTAATTATAGTTGAAAATACAGGTTAGAATAAAAAATAAGAAACAAAATAAACAAGAATTAAATATTACAGAAGTAAAAACCGCCACTTGGAATATAAAATTACACCAATTCTTAGTGTCTTCATCAATGAAAGCAATTTAATTCAACATGATTTAGCACTGTGAATGACTCTATAAGCTCTGATCATATTGCTTCAATACATTTATATAAGCTGTTCAGAGCTTAGTATTAGATTATGTAACTCCTTATTTTAAAGATGATAAATGTAAAACAGGCACAAAACAACAATAAAGTATGAGAGCAAAAATGCAATAAATATTCTTTTATATATATATATCTCTTTAAAAAAGGGACCATCAGCTTATCATGGTGGGGAAAAAAAAAAGTATTTTTGGACAAGGAAATAAACCATTATTAGCTACACTTCAACTATCCAACTTGAATATAAAAAGTTTAGGATTAGACACTTCTGTAGCTAATGAGACCATCTATGAATATATTGCATTTGATAAAAGCCATAATCCTATGTCTTTTTGACATAACTAATATTGTTGTAACACAACAAGTATTTGGAAACAATTCTCCTATTTGAACAGACTGCTCTATTACCTTGTCAGCATGACTTACTGAAACGTTACTAAAACCTGAATATTCACCTCCAAAAATAAAATATACAGACAGATAACATACTCTAACAACAGTTTCTGTATTGTCTACAAATATTAACAGTGCTTAATGGTTTAATTCATGAAACATATGCACCTGAAGGATTAAAAATACAGTTCTGAGTTTCTAAACTCATCAGAAGTGGCTCTGACAATCAAGGTTTTGAGTTAGGTATTAAAACTTAAAGACATTTAGCAACTTCACCCATTTCCAGAATTACAAAGAAAAACTGGTTAGCTGTGTTCATTAAATATTCAAGGCTGGATAAATGAAAAACATGCTGAAATATTAACATTCATTTACCAATTGAAGCTGAAAGCATTTGTTTCATGTGAGCTTCTATTACAGAAGTATCTTTGGAACTGTAAGATCCAAGTTCAGGATAAAAATTGGCTGCAATGTCCTCAGGAGGATTATGCCTTCCCTTTGGATAATTGTTTGCAATTTTGGGATCCCAATGTGGCAACAGTGGATGGTTCCAGTGAATGTATTTACCATCAAACTGTGGATTCCCAAACCAGCTATAATAGAATATATGAAAGTTATAATTAGGAGAAGACAGCTCTCCTTCCAACTTGTTCGCAGGAGGCATGGATGCTTTCATAGTATTGACCACAGCAGCATGCATATTACTGATCTGTGTTACAGTATCTCCTTGAATCCTATTCAAGGAACTTCGTTTATTCTCTAAGAGCTCTGTCCGTTGTTGAAGCTCAGGCAATAAACCAAGTCCAAATGGGTCCCCAAAGCCAGCTCTGTCAGGTCTCAGAGTCTTCAAAGCCATCATTATGGAGCAAATAAACAAAATAAAAAGCAACAAAATGATGCATGTTCTTCTGCGAAATCTTGCCATGATGTCATACTTCAGAATCCACTAAAATCCATCCAATTTTGGCAGCAACTGATAAAACACAAATATTTTGAAGTCAGATTTCTTGTTGTCTAGTAGTACAGTTTTTTTATAAGGTTTCTACATAATGGAAATATTAGAAGACAATTATGTGACACTTATACATTGTATTAATGACAAGTTTTCTCAAAGGATTAAAGTGAAGGAGAACGATCAAAAATACTTACGTGTTTGAGAATGTGTGTCAGAGATTAAAGTTTACCACTGAAGAAACCCAGATTTCATTAAACATCTTACTTTCGAACTTTGTTCTTTTCCTAAATTAAATCCCATGAAATTCTGGTTATATTATTTCAGAAGTCTTCTATTTTGGTAAGTCTGATCAAAATAGCAAAGAAAGTAAGAAAAAAGCAAAAGCCATGACAACAGAGTAATGTAAAAGAGTAAAAATCAAATTGAGATAGTGAACAAGGTACAGTTTATGTTCAGAATACAGGTTTGTTATCACTACCTACTTAATGGAATAACCACCTCTTGGTAAGTTAAGCAACTTTACTGATTGAATATTTTGGCCAATTAAGCTTCATACTGTAGCGCTTCCCAAATTTTCATACCTAAAATTCAAATCTGTTGAATTACAGAAACAAAAATCAGCATAGTTTTAAAGATGTACTTCAGACAGAAAGCCTACAGTCAGTTGCTGGTAACCTGTTAGTATAATATCACAACTGCATGGCACTTCGTGCACATTTCCTGGATTAAGTTCAAAGCCAATAAAACCAATAGTGCACAACATTTCAGCACTGGAAGAAAGGGAATGAAAAGCAGCGTAATAAAATTCCGGATTACCTTATAAGTAATTCCCACTCAACATTAAACAGAAGAGAATCAGAGAACACGATGAAAAAAGTTCAGGTCACCATGTAATGGTGTGAAACATGATTAAGCACAAAACTGGAAAATCTTAGAAAAAAAATCTGATTCAACTATCATTAGATATAGCACAGAAGTGATTTTGTATTCCTGTAGCTGACATCCAAATAGTAGAATATGGCTTTAAACTATCAAGGTATACACAGGTCATTTTTACATACAAAGTATCTCATCTTATTTTCCTACCATTACTTAATATGATTAAAATACATTAACATATAGCTACAATAGTAACCATGTTGTCACCACTTCTAGAGTGATAAATTTAGATAAAGAATTTTAGAATGCTTTGTTAACAACATAGTTTGAGTAGGATTACCACTATGACACTGCCAAAAAGTCTTGCTTTTGCTTCCAACGTTTTTCCATTGATCCTCCTCTCCATGTCTTGTTATCTCTGGTACTCTGGTTTTCAAAGTATGGTCACACACATGCTCAAGGAGTAAAATCATGTTAACATTTCAAAAATGGACAACAACAGAGATGCCCTTTTATTTTGTTAGAGATTTAACTTAGCTGAGCAAGAATAACAGCAGTAATGCCAACAGATGAGTTAATAGCACAGACAGAAAAAGGGAAAAAAAAGAAGCAAATCTTGAACAACAGCACTGTGAAAACATGTCCTTTATTACCATCAGGGAAAATGATTTTACAGCATATATGCTTATAGTATTTCACTTCCCTTGAGATTTTTCATTTAACAGACTTCACATCACTTCACATTACAGACTTCTTTTTATACAGCACACAATCCATCCCTAGGTCTTAAAATTTCAGCAGATTATTTGGAATTTTCTCCTACTAATAAATTAACTTTAGGAAGACTTGCATACTACTTGTGCACTGTTTCTGACACATTTTCAATCTTCTAACTTACTATGCCGCACCTCAGAAATTTACCAAAGTTTTCTAAAGGATCAGTTTTTTTTTTTTTTTTTTTAATTACTTCTTCCCCAACAGAAACAATTTCTCTTAACTGCTTAAATGTATTAATGCATTTCAGTTTTTCAACCCAGATGACATTGACACAAAACATGTTTACTTTCTTCTCCAATTATTATTTTATCATCTCCCCTCCTCAGTACAGAGATTTCACATCACTAGAGATTACAGTCTATAAGTAGAACATTTGCAAGATCTTCCTCCTTTACTGAAGAAACCGGTCCTTTCTTTCTCTGCTTGACATGGAAGCTACAAAACTCCTGCCCCCCTGTACCAAGATTTCACTATCATGAAGTGTTACTTCTGATGCATCAGGAACTGGTGCTAGTGCTCCACATTGCTGTTTCAATTAATATTGTTTCCAATAAAATATTTACAATTCAAGTATATTAAAAAGCAAGCAGCATACACGCTAACTTTACTTCCCCCAGAAGCTTTTGATTTGACTGGCAACAGGACAGACCCTGGTCTAGCACAGTGTATTATGAACCTCTAATATACTTATATAGAGGCATAAAACTGAAGAGCAAGAGTTCTAGAATACATACACGATACCTATCCTAATAGATGGTGTCTCCCATGCCAACACAGTTGCAATGTCACAGTTCAGCACTGGCATACACACTTGTACTTTAACAGTTGCATTCAAGAGTTAAATGGTAACAGGCAAATAGTGCTCATCACCACTACTGCCACAGTAAAGAAGTAAACATCAGCAAATATCAAAGCTTCTCAGCTAAAGTCTCTAAACTTCACTTTTCCTATGAATTCCCAGCTGCAAGAACCTGAAAACTCTGCAAGAATGGATCAGACCTAAGCAAAGCCGAAGTCTGTAGGCCTTCAAAGACTTCAATGTTTTGCAAACAGGCCATCCTTGATCTTGTGCTGCATTCTGGGTCCACCGTGCAAATAAGCACCCGGAAGCATCACTTCATGTGCCAAGTACCTGATCAGGTAAGGTTCAGCACGCTTCCCTAGGGGTTGCTAAGGTCTGCACAACTCGTATTTACGTAACATCTTCCAGTCTGGAGAACACAAACAACAGAAAAAGCAACAGAAGCTGACCTGCGAGGCCTTCCCTGTAACAGCCTTAGCACACGTTCCAGTAATATAGAAACACGGATACTTCTCCAAAAAAACTGTCAGCGCTACAGTCTTTAGAGAAGGTTTTCTCAAAGAAAAAAAGAAAACTAAAAAAAAAAAAAAAAAAAAAAAAAGCAGCAAGCCCCGGAAAACCATTGAAGGCAAGAGACATCACACATAGCCATAGCAAGCATTTTATAACTGCGCTCACAGCCTACGGGGATACACCGGGTGACGATGTACCGGCCCCCAGCACCGCCAGGCCGCCCATCAGCAGCTGCGGGGTAAGGGCAGACCGCTCGGCTCTCCTCGTTCCCTCCAGCCGCGGGGAGAGCCCCGGCCCGGCTCTTCACCTCCTTTACCCCCGCTCCGGGGGCTGGCAGCACCGTAGCCGCGCTGCTCCTTACCCAGCCCAGCCCAGGTGCCGCGGACAAGCGGCCGCTACTCACCAGCCAGACGCAGGACGACCCGCCGCGCAGGGCGGGCTCACATCGCCGGGAGCCAGGCCGGCGCCGCTCCGCAGGGACACGCATGCCCAAGCGGACGCGCATGCGCAGCGGCAGGAGAGGGCCGGAGGTAGGGGCTGCTCTGCCGCCCGTCGGCTGTGCGGGGTGTCGCTGGGAGCTGGGCGGCCTCGGTGCGGGAGCTGTGGTTGGGAAGGATCTCAACGATCGTCTAGTTCTAACCTCCTTCTGCCGTGGGCAGGACTGCCACCTTTTCTTTTTCTTTTTTCTTTTTTTTTGTCTTCCCCAGAACTGTGAAAATAAACTGCAAAAAGCTCTCATAGTGAGATTTGCAAACAAATCAATGAAAAAACAGATGCTCGTTTTCTCCTGTAGCATCAGAAGCCTGTCTGTCAAGCAGAGCTGTTGCTGATAGCACTCAGACTGACTCAACACAAATTTTCTCTTCAATGAAGAGTGCAGTATCCCCAGACAATAAAAGCATTTATTCTCTTTGCCTCTTGAAAAGTGAGTGTAATGAGTTTGATCCCCGTGGTGCAGTTTGATTTTATTTTTTAATAACCTCCCTAAGCCCTCTGAGAGATGGAGCAGAAACAGTGACCTGGTTCGCAGCTGCATTGAAATCAATAACAGAATCCTCATTGATTTCACCTGGAAAGAGTTGGAATGAGCATCTCACTGTGCCAACAGAAACAAGATGAACAAATTCAAGTGCTCTTGCAGTCCTCCTTGCAGTCTGAGAAAACGGGCAGGCAGAATTGTTGCATGATATTTCCTCTATGCTGAATGCTCCAATGGGAAATGCAGTAATGTGTAATTCTAGTACTACTCCCTGCAAGCATCTGAAGAATTTCATTAACAGGCAATATATTGTAATACATCAAGAATGCTGTGCTTTAATGATAAATGAGTTTGTGTATCAGTAGACTGGAGAATGAAACTTGAACATTTGATAGCCGTATAATTGACTGACTGGCTCACAGATTTTTTTTACCTGAAATTTATTTTTTTCTTCTTCCTTCTTTTTTTCTTTCTCTTTCTTTTTTTTTCTTCTGTTTTATTTTTTTCCCAATTCTTTCTTTCCTCCTTTCTTCAAAAGATAAGATACTGTTAGGATGCCATTCGTTAATATTTTATAGAGGGCATAACTAACTCTCACTTGTACTTTACAGCGTGGAAGAACTACTACAGAACTAATGATATTTATTTGAAAATTAAATAGTTAGCTTAAGAACTGAGAAGTAAATATGAACCCTTGTTTGATCATTTCATCTGCAAAGGAATAAATCTATTTTCATCAGATAAAAAATCATAAATGTGTTTCTTCTGATATTGTTCTGTTATGTCTGAATGTTTTTGCTGAATCTGGTTAAGATTCTTAAAAAATTAAGATTTTTAAAAAATCAAACCCATTATATCATACGATTTCCTCGAAGCCTTTCTGCATAGTAATGAAGTTAAATAATTATGCTAGCTGATGTGGGACAAGGGAGATTAATGTGCCTGTGGCTATTCTGTTGATTATTTTTTTAATATTATATATCTTTTACATTCTTAAGTTTGTACTTGCTTGTTTTTCTTATTAGATCAAGGTGTACCTTTCCCTCATCTACCCACAATGTATATCCTTATCTTTCCTGTAGCTTTCATAATTTTTTCTTCCATTATATCCTCTGTCTTCTCACTTATTCTTTATGCTGTAATAGCATGTTCTGGCTTTAGAGCAAACACAAAAGGAGGAATAGCCTATGCTTGTAGCCTTTTCATCTATTCTCAATAGTTCTATCTGTTATAAAATCATGAAACTCTCTCACTTACAATTCAGTATTCATCAGGCCCTCAGAATAGCCACCTTTTATCCTAGAAGACTGAAGACCCTGAATTGTCAGCCGTAAGTATTGGGAACAGCAAGAAGCCGGTAGCTGGAAACGTTATTGTTGCATCACAGTTCATTTAGTGACACCACAAATGAGAATTTTAATTTCTAAAATCCTGTGAAACCTGATCTAATACTGAAATTTAATTCTGAGTTATATTACCAGGTAGGAGAAAACAGCGTAGGAGTACAGAGGATACTACCTGTACATGTGGAGCATACATCCCTCCTCGTATTCCTTTTCATTCTTTTTTTCTTGATACTGGAAATGTGGAGTCAGTGTTCTATTCCTGCTGCTTCACTCCTAATGCTGGTCTTTGCATCTGATAACACTAGATCCCTAGGGACATAGCAAGCAAAAAAATGTAGTGTGGTCACTGATAATACTCCAGAGCTCCTTGTTTGCTTTCATCAGTCTTTAGCAGAAGCTAAGGACAACCTTGCTTTCATGCCAAACAGGTAGCATAGTGTGGGTCCTTTTTTTCTCTCAACCTTTCAACAGCAGCAGAAATGCTATAATATTTTGGACAGATTTTGGATTTGGGCAGCTTTATTCATGCTTGTTACAAGTTTGAAGAGGTAATTTTGAAACAACCATGGATGACTATAAATCCTTAAGCTGCAGATATAAGCAAGTCCTATTAAAAACCATAGTCTTTCTCTCTCATGAAACTAATCCTGGGATTTACAGAATGGTTCACTGCACTGTTTTATTTATTAGAGATTTGTTCCAGCCTTTCAGAAATGAAACTATTCTTTACATATAGAAGTTATGTCAAACTCAAAAGTAATTTTCAAATGTAGAAAATCCATGTTTCTCCTTAGAAAACTATGCATATTTTTTAATTTGTGCTGTAAAATTAATAACTACTGGGATAAGCTAGAAAAAAAACCTAGTAATCTACAGCCACTGTAAAGATACTGTATTCTCCTCAGCAGTTTCATGCATATTTTTATGTCTACGCAATGTTTGTAAGTAGAAATTTCCTTTCCTGACATAGAGAAATAGTACTAATATAGCTAAAAATTTTACAGTGTCAAAATGTTGTATACCTTGCTAATACAGAAATGCCTACTGCGCTTGGTACACAGTGCTATTGTATATATTGGAATTATATGGAGACTATAAACTGAGCAAAGATTACAGAAAGTATGTTGCATGTTGGTTAGGTTAGCACGTATTTGGATGTAATTTTTTTTCTTTCATTCATTCCTTATTAGGTTCTAAGGCCTTTTCTGGAAAGACAGAGTCATTTAGCAAGCTGCTTTTAACTCTTGTTAGAAGTAAAGTTACATAGTATTTTAGGAGAAAAAACAAACATATTTTTTTCTCTGCTGATAAAGGAAGTGATACAGGAAGAATATACATGTTGTTTCCAAAATTTTCTTTGTTGTAGTTATCAATCTGTGGATTTATTTGTTCCAGAGTCTCTTCTCCTTCAGAAATTAGAAGCGTCATTTGTGCTTCCTCTTAGATTAAACAAGCTGTGATGAAACAGTGAGGTTTTCTTCTTCTGGTAGAAAGTGTAATTGAGCCTTGATAGTATTATGCACTGATTACTAATTTATTTCTTTATCAGCAACTGCAGCAAAAGAAATACTTCTTCAAGGGAAGATGATACAAAGATTAAAATGTTTCAGTTGTAGGGTGATACATGCTTTAAAAATACCTGAGGTAGGTGATGTTGTGAAGCAAAGGAACCAAGGCAAGGGGAGTGTTAAAAATGGCACATATGGTCTGTGCCTATTCCGTGAAAACATCAATCTGCACTCAGATTGTTTCAGTACAACCTAAGCATTCTTAATTGATTTAATGCCAATAGAGAAAAATATTTCAATTACCAAGAGTAATCAAGCATTTCATTTGCTAGCTGTGCATTAATGCATACAAACTTTCAGAAGGAAGAAGTAGTGTTCTCATTGATATACAAAGTAGTATACATATAAATGCAAATGCATTTATTTCCTTTACTGTATTTTAGACACGGCTAATATTCTTACATTTTAAGAGGCCCTATTTTAGAGTGCCCATTAACTTTATTTTTAAATTGGCTTAGCGATTTTGATTTGTGGTCAGGGTATCTCTGCAGGGTAAAATAATTTCTTCTAATCTTGTAAAGAAGTTAGCAAAGATCACATATCTACTGCAGAGTTAAACTATCACCAGTGTTCTAAGTGAGGCTCAAAGGGATCAGATGCTTAATTGCTGTGCATGCTCTTGAGTATTAGTAATACTACTTTTTTTTTTTTTTTTTTTTTGAGGAGCAGAGTGGAACATCAGTGATGAAAACGTACTAATATCAAACAATCTGCTGCTTGCAATTCTAGCTTTTTAGAAGCTTTTAATTTAGGAATAAATGAATTACACATGTATGGCAAAAAAAAGATGATGATGGTGTCTTCTAATAGGATGCAGGTAACAGGGAAAATTGGTTTACTGCTTCCAACAAGAAAGAGCAGCTCAAGAGAAGTGCAATCTCTACTCGGAGAAATACTACTCTCTTGGTTGCTAACCCTTAAAAGAGGGTGAGGAGGGGCAGATCCAGGCTCTACTCCTTTCAGTCACTCACATTCATTGCTTTTCCCTGAGCATCCTGTGTTAGTCACTCCTCCTCACCTGGTGTTCAGCCACTGGTTCAGTCCGTGACCTGGCAATTCTGCTACACATCCATAAATTTTGTGCTGAAATGTAACTGTAATTTAAAGGCTACTACTTCTTCATTTTTGCTTCTGGGTACATGATTAATCTGTAGTTAAGTAAACTGTAAAAAAATGAAGTTAAATAAACTGTAAACAAATGTTGTTTTATTTGTTTTTTAAGGATTACTGGCTGAGTTAAATTGTTGTATTTCCCAGGAAAAAAATTATTACAAGTTTCAATTTGTAGTCATATATTAAACAAAAATGTTGGCTCAAGATAAGTTGAAAGTATGCAGTATCTTAAAGCACTTACATGCCTTACAACAGCAGTGCAGCTGTTGTAATACAAGGTTAAAGAGAAATTTATATCCTGCCAAATCAGTCTGCATTTTGAAAGGTGCTGCTGTTGAAGGAGCCACAAGATAATGCAAGGAATATGTTGAATTAGACTATGAAATGAGCACTTCCAATTAGAAGTGATAAGAATCACAGATTTTCCTCATTAAAAAAGAAAAAAAAATTAAAATTAAAAAAGATGGAAAGAAGAAATACTTT